TAATGGTCTCAAGGCTTGTTGCCAGTATAACTTTAAAATGCTTGTGGGGTAGGCAAGTGCTAGAAAGGAAAGCCACTAAATGCATGACTGGATAGATTCCAAGCTTCTACAATCACAAAACAGATATATAGAAATGTGATACAAAGTGTTGAGGTCAGCTGTTTAATTCAAGAGAAAACATTCTTTGATCTGCATTCTCCAAAACAATGGAAACCACTAATGGGTTATGATGGAACATAACTGTTTAAAAAAGTGAGAAGAAACAAAATTATTCTAGACCAGAATTGAGTTTCACCATGAACCATTAGTTTTTCATTATTTAGGACTCTAGAGACCAACACTACACCTAATTGCAAAGCTTATCTCCAGAGGAGGGCAACTAAAATGATCAAGGGTCTGGAGAACAAGCCCTATGAGGAGTGGTTGAAAGAGCTGGGCATGTTTAGCCTGAAGAAGAAAAGGCTGAGAGGAGACATGATAGCCATGTATAAATATGTGAGAGGAAGCCACAGGGAGGAGGGAGCAAGCTTGTTTTCTGCTGCCCAGGAGACTAGGACGCAGAGTAATGGCCTCAAACTACAAGAAAGGAGATTCCATCTGAACATGAGGAAGAACTTCCTGACTGCGAGAGCTGTTCAGCAGTGGAACTCTCTGCCCCGAAGTGTGGTGGAGGCTCCTTCTTTGGAGGCTTTAAAAAATAGGCTGGATGGCCATCTGTCGGGGGGGGGGGTGCATTGAATGCAATTTTCCTGCTTCTTGGCAGGGTGTTGGACTGGATGGCCCATGAGGTCTCTTCCAACTCTATGATGCTATGATTCTACCTGATATCACAGTTCTACATACCTGTGTTGTGAACACTTTTGGTCATAGCAAAAACACATGCATCAACCCCCTTAAATATCCCATTAGTGCAGTGGTTCTCAACCTGGGGTCCCCAGATGTTTTTGGCCTACAAGTCCCAGAAATCCCAGCTAGTTTACCAGCTGTTAGGATTTCTGGGAGTTGAAGGCCAAAAACATCTGGGGACCCCAGGTTGAGAACCACTGCATTAGTGGAAGAAATTATTCCCAATTGCATTGTGAAGTTTTTAATATTGGACCCAGGTCTGAGTCTTCAGACTTTTGAGTAGAGAAATAATCAATGTGCCATGTCTATCTCTTAGAGGTTTCCTCAGATGCAGAAGAAGATGAGAGCCAAGAGACAGAGGAAACAGACAGCCCAACCTTAGAACGAGAGCCCATTCCATCCCATGAAGACCCTAATGAACAGGAGCCAGAGCCTGAGCTGCTTCATACTCCAGACCAGTGGTTCTCTAACTCTGCTCCTCCAGATGTTTTGGACTTCATTTTCCACAATTCTTAACAGCTGGTAAACTGGCTGGTATTTCTGGGAGTTGAAGTCCAAAACACCAGGAGGAGCACACTTTGAGAAACACTGCTTTAGACCATTGCAGACTGAAATGGAGCAACATAAGTACAGAAACATATGCCTGGAAAGGGAAACACAGTGTTAGTTAGGACAGCTATGTTGAATTATAACCAGCTATACTTTGATGCAGCCAACATACCTTCTTTGCTGCAGAACAACAGTTCCACAATCACTCTTTGGACTGTATGGGCATTCTCTATTCTCCGCTTTCTTGAAAGTTGGCTTGCTCCTTGGACAGCTTTTTAGTGATTATCTGTCTAATTATGATCTTGATCAAAACGACTTTCCATTTTGATTCTGGAGTGCTCTGAGTTATAGTTTGATGAGACACCAGTACTACTTGGCATAAATGGCTAAATATGTTCAATACGTTGTTGAAGGTTTTCATGGCTGGAATCACTGGGTTGCTGTGAGTTTTCCAGGTTGTATGGTCACTCTCCAGAAGCATTATCTATGGCAGGCATCTTCAGAGGTTGTGAGGTCTGTTGGAAACTAGGCAAGTGGGGTTAGTATATCTGTGGAATGCCCAGGGTGGGAGAAAGAACTCTTGCCTCTTGTTTGTGAGGCTGAGAGTGCGTGACTCACTCAAAGTCACTTAGTGGGTTTCCATAGTCGAACTGGAATTGAAGTCCAGTCTCTAGAGTCATGGTCTATACTACTCTGGCTGTCTTTTAACTGTACTGTACTGTTCTAAAAACTGCTTTTAAACATTTTTATGTGTATGGTTAAAACTCCTTTTAATCCTGTTAATAGCTCAATTCAATTTTAATGTTGCTGTTTCCCATAAGATGCAGTTATTGCTATTAAACTGGAGTCACAGAGCAATAACTGTGTATAATGAAAGGGCTACTCATCTCATGTGAGTTCATAAGCTGGTCAGGGTTTGCCCAGTTAGTGCTCGCAGAGTGTCAATATATAACTCCTCAGCTTCCAAACCTGTAGCAGTTTAAAAACCATTCAGATGAGGCACAGCCAGGCTGAAAAGGTAGATTTGGAGGTGATAAGGATTGCTAGGTGTAAATCTGTTGATGGAGCTCCATTTCCCTAGTTATGTCTGATGATACAGGATTTAGACTATTGTATTTATGGGACTGGGGATACTGACATTAATCAAAGCTGAAGAAATAGATAAGTCACTTGTAGTGATGGACAGAGAATATAATAATCCAATTTTCAAAGTAGGATCCATGAGTCTATAGCCAGGAATGCCTGCTTTGCATGCAAAATGTCATAAAATCATAGAATCATAGAATCAAAGAGTTGAAAGAGACCTCATGGGCCATCCAGTCCAACCCCCTGCCAAGAAGCAGGAATATTGCATTCAAATCACCCCTGACAGATGGCCTTCCAGCCTCTGTTTAAAAGCCTCCAAAGAAGGAGACTCCACCACACTCTGGGGCAGAGAGTTCCACTGCTGAACAGCTCTCACAGTCAGGAAGTTCTTCCTCATGTTCAGATGGAATCGATGAGGGCAAAAAAATTAAAGTTGAATCCAGAGGTCCTCCTGGTCAGTGGCAAGGCTGAACACGGTATAGGGCAGTGGTTCTCGACCTGTGGGTCCCCAGATGTTTTGGCCTTCAACTCCTAGAAGTCCTAACAGCTGGTAAAATGGCTGGGATTTCTGGGAGTTCTAGGCCAAAACCCCTGGGGACCCACAGGTTGAGAACAACTGGTATAGGGTGACAGTCTGTGCTGGATGGGGTTACACTCCCCTTGAAGGCACAGGTTTGCAGCTTGGGAGTTCTCCTGGACTCATTGCTGAGCTTGGAATCTCAGGTTGCGGCGGTGGCCAGGGGGGGGGGGGTTTGCACAGTTAAAACTTCTGTGCCAGTTGTGCCCATACCTTGGGAGGTCTGACTTAGCCACAGTGGTCCACACTCTTGTTACATCCAGGATAGACTACTGCAATGTGTTCTATGTGGGGTTGGCTTTGAAGACTGTTCTGAAACTTCAAATAGTCCAACAAGAGGCAGCCAGGTGAATAACTGAGGTGGCATACAAGGAGCACACAACTCTCATGTTACATCAGCTCCACTGGCTGCCTTCTGCTACTGGGCATTACTAGCTTTGGCTTATAAAGCCCTAAACAACTCCAGCCCAGTTTACCTGTCCAAACACATCTCCCTTTACTAACCATCATGAAGACTAAGATCTTCTGGGAAGACCCTGCTCTCGGTCCCACCACCGTTGCAGGTGCACTTGGCAGGGACGAGAGAGAGGACCTTCTCAGTGATTGCCCCCGGCTATGGGACTCTCTTCCTGGTGAGACTAGATCAGCTCCCTTTCTCCTGTCCTTCAGAAAGATGGTAAAAACCTGGCTGTGGGACCAAGCCTTTGGTGCAGTGCAATGAGGCAATAATATGAAAACTATTCTGCTGACCAAAGCCAGCATGGTGTCTTGAGATGGTTTTAAAGAACTGATTTTAAAGTAGATATAAGTGTCTCAGTTCTTGTGGGTTTTTTCAGGCTATATGGCCATGTTCTAGAGGCATTTCTCCTGCCGTTTCACCTGCATCTATGGCAAGCATCCTCAGAGGTGAGGTCTGCTGGAACTGGGGAAAAAAGGGGGTTTATATATCTGTGGAATGACCAGGGTGAGACAAAGGGCTTTTGTCAGTTGGGCTAGGTGTGAATCTTTCAACTGACCACCTTGATTAGCATACAATGGGCTGACTGTGCCTGGAGCAAACTCTTCTTGAAAGGTGATTAGATGTCCCTGCCTGTTTTTCTCTCTGCTGTTTTTGCTGTTGCAATTTTAGAATTTTTTAATACTGGTAGCCAGATTTTGTTCATTTTCATGGTTTCTTCCTTTCTGTTGAAATTGTCCACAGAAATTGACAATTGTCCACAGATATTTTGTTGAAATATCAGGGATTAAGAAGAACAATACTGTCAGTTCACACTACTTGGTGATAGCACTATGATCTCAGTTTAACTGCCATGGCAACATCCTGTAGAAACCTGGGATGTGTACTTTGCTAAGACACCAGAATGCTGGCTGTGAATTTTAAATCCCATTCTGTAAACTGCAAATGCCACAACTCCATAGGATGTTGCCATGACAATTGTAATGGCATCATAGAGTGATGAAACTTTACCTTAAAGAGGCTATTTTGTGGATGAGAATCAGCACCTTGGAGAACATCTTTATAGTTCAGGTAGCACTAGCTACCTAAACTATGTGCACTCTCCCACTGATGTAGATATCTCTAGCTGACTCTGGACTGAAGCCAAGTTAAGGTTGTGTTAAAAAATTAAGAGAGTGACTTCAGCCCATCCACTTATCATTGAACTGTTCAGTGAACATGTCTATACAGTTCTGGCTTGAACACATCTCTGGCTTCCTGGAACATAGAGGCACTGACATGTTGCAAAAGAAGAGCATGCGTTTTGAGTATGGCAGCATTACAAGTATTGCAGTGGCTGACTAGTCAATAAGGGATTACATCTTCTCTCCTCCTCCTCCATCCCACCCAAGAAATACTTCCCCAACTTTGCTGTGCTGTGTAAACTGTTTGTGGATGATGTCATAACTACTCCACTTCTCAAAGGGGCCAGGGCATGGAAACCAAGACGCAGGAGGGGAAGAGAGCAACAGAAAAGCTCTCCCCTCCATCACAATTCTTGCCTTCCCATTCCCTACAGGTGTTTGATGCTTCAGACATATTGAACTGGCTTGGAACAGCAGTTCAAACTACCTGCGCTGAAAGAGCACTTTGCATTGTATCTGATTTTTTTTATGACTAGCAAGTAGCAAGCTCAGCTTCCCTATGCTCTCCCCCTCCTCCACTCCCACTTAGGTTAAGAGCATACGTGTGTGTGCGTGTATGCAGTGCGTGTGTTCCTCTTCTTGGCATACCCCCACCCCCTTTCTCCCCTGCAAGTTGGAATTTTCTTCTTCCGCATCACATCCAAATCTCTGCTAAAGCATTGGTTCCTCAGAGCCAGAGGAAAGCAGCCAGAGAGAGAAAGCAAGAGAGACGGAGAGGGGGAAAAAAAACCACTCTCCTTTTGATGTGCTTTGTCTCGGTCGGTTCTCAGCTGCTGGACATCATGTGTAGACAACAGCACTGCTGAAAAGACCATCAGAGGGATCAAAGACCTGCAATTTCCAACAAGAAACCTACACCCAGGTAAGGAGGTGGCACATCCTCTTTAAGTTCACCCTGAGCTCCTTTATTTATGTGTGGGGGGGGGGGGGGGGGAACCAGGCTGACTGCAGTTTTAGCAGGAAATGCATGATTCTTTCCAAGGAAGGATGGCTATTAATAACTCCCCTCACTCCGCATTCTTTCTCCCCTCCCCATGCACACACCTCCCTCGATCCTGCATTGGAGCTAATTTACCTGCCAACATTGAAGGGTTCGTTTGCAAAGGTCTCTTTGCAACAGGAAGCAAAGATGGGTGATAGATATTCGAGGCATGCACAGAAGGGTCTTGCTAATGAACCAGCCCAGCAAGGAGCCCAGCTCCCCAGAGATATATTTGCAACCTCATTCTTTGTGCAAAGGGGCGTGAAAATGACTGCATTGTGTTCAGCTTGCAAGTACCTTCAGAAAAGTCTCTGCCCATCCAAGACTGTCCCTCTTGCCTGTCTTTCTTGAAGTGGGTATAGAAAATGCGTGTTCTGATTAGCAAGCATGTATGTTCATATGGTGTGGATGTTGCATGCCTTTTCGAAAACCTTGTCCCTTGGGTGTAACTGTGCCAGAAAACTGTGTTATCTGAATTAACTCTGTATCCTCTCCTCCTCCTTGCAAATCTAGGCTGAGCTTGGTTACCACAGTCTTGCCACAACTAAGATGGATCCGCTTTTCCACACCCAAGCTGACCTTCTTTACATGCGGAGGCTGGTTAATGACTCATCCCTGTGGAACATCACCTTGGGCGACTGGTTTCACAATGGGACAACTGACGGCTTCTTGCCCATGGGCATCAAGGTCACCATCGTGATTGTCTACTCCATAGTGTGCATCGTGGGGCTGGTGGGCAACTGTTCCGTCATGTATGTGATCATCAGGTAAGTCGACACCAGGATGGTAGGTGCCAAATGGCCCATCTTGGGCAGAAGCAAGGTTTGCATTGAATGTAGAATGTCTTTAGTTAAACATAACAACATCTGGCCAAGCTTGGAAGATCTCTCAAGAATTGGGCACAGCTAGTGATCAAGGAATAGATAAAGGCAAGAATGTATCTAAGCATATGATTACTTCCTTTTTCCAATTAGTTAGCTGTCACAGCCAATGGATGGTTGGCATGATATGAACTGTCCAAACTGACGAAATCTACCCTGCAATAGGTTCATTGCCTTAAAGGTCTCATTTAAAGTTTGAACTAAAACTCAGAGTGGCTTCAACACCCCAAAGATATCAGAGCCACACATCAGAGAGAGAAAGAAGGAAGAACTTTAGGATCATAATGGTTGATGATGAGGATGATCATAGAAAAAGAAGCATTTTTTTAGATTGTATAGGATTCTTCACATAATATTGCATTGGTTAATCCCAACTGAAATAGATCCATTGACTCAATTGTTAAATTATGAATCAGCACATACTGTATGTCAATCCCACTGAGTCAATGGGTCTTCTATAATTAGGATTAACAATAGGAATTAGGCCATAATCTCATTCTAATCCTCAGAGTAACTGTTAAGTAGGCCAATTTCACTGCTACAGGTTGCAATTTAGGTGATGAAGCAAAGCCTGCAAGGAACTGGTATGTCTCCTAATAAAATGAGGTCTGCAGAGAGATTTGAATTGGGGTTTCTTGGTTTTAAAACTGCAGCACATACAAAACAATCCAGTGAATGGAAGATCACTAAATGTATGAATTTGTCATGGAACAACTTATGGAGCTAGCATGACGATGGAGACAAGAGTGCTTCACTTGTTTATGGAAAACCAAAATCAAAATCCTTGGTTGAGTCTCAAAGTGCTGGTGATGGATAAGTAGTAGCTCAGCTCAGGTGTTCTCAGCTTTACCTTAACATCTGCAGAGTAGAACATACTAGCTCTTTCACTTCTTTTGGGTCCTTGAGAAGTGTCGGGCCTGAAACAGGGAACCTCTTGCATCTATGGAGACTCTTCATATGATTCAGAATCCAGGCACCAGTAGTTCAAAATGGTGAGGAGAGTCCTCACGCAAGCAAGAGGCTCTTTGCTGCAGGTTTATCACTCTCTCGCAATCTTTCTCTCAACCTCTCCCAGTCTTTATGTCACTAACTACACTAATTACCTGGCTACATAAAGTGTGATCTATTACTTCCAGATGTTTGAGATGACAGCCTCAATCATTTCCAACTGCTGGCCATGGTGAGCAGAGTTAGGAGTCATAGCTGAAACATCTGGAGAGTGTCTCAAGGCTGTTGTTCCTGTTTTGTTCATCTGGAAACCCTCCAAACTGGTGCTAAATCAGGAAATGTGAGAGGATAGATTGAGACTTGGTTGTTTGCACCTGCTTCCATTTTTTTGCCTTCCAACAGTTACCTGCATTACCCATGGTGGTTATTTGTATGCTACACTGGTAAAGTACTCATAGCCTGGTATAAGAAAGCCTAGTGAGATATAGTTGAGAAATTGTTATCCAAGCATGGATGATTATGTAAATGAAAAAGTGGTACCCAAGCATGGGAAGATGATAGCAAAAGCATCCAGTGGGATCTATGGTATGCACAATATTTTTTTTAATAGAGAAAGGAACTCTAAGGTGATGTTGGGACCACAGATAGTCTAGCAAGGATCAAGTGGTCACAAAACACTCAATACCTATCTAGCGAAGGCTTTGATATGGTCCAGTATGGCTCTTGTTGTGTTCTTCTACTAGATGATATAGCTAATGGGCTATAATCCTGAACAGCGCTCAGTAGGGAGACATTTTGTTGCAAGGACCATTTGACTTGACTGGGGATATGTCTTTACAACAGTGCTCTTCTTCTGCGAATTAGAATGCCAACAAGACAGCCTTTCTTTCCTGTTCTTCTTGTTCACATTGCATGCTACCTGAATTCTGCTTGGATTTATTTTTATTTTTTTAATCAGTATTTCTACCAGAAGTGGTCAATACTCAGTTTGTGGATATCCCTTCCTTTGGTTTCTTGGCATTTCTCCTCAATACATGTTACAGAGCATGCCTTCAGAAACTGCAGAAAATACGATTTTGATGAGATTGTATGCATGACTGCATCAAAATTCTTTCTGGATGAGTGTTTTGATTGATATGATCCCTAAAACTTAGCTCGAAATGGATCATCACAGAATGAGACATAATCAATCAAACTAATATTGGGCACTCTGTATTTCTGTAGAGTTTTATCACTTTACAAGTATGGATAGACATTAGTGTATCAATAATCTATAAAGGTGCATCGGCTGTGGTGGCACAAGGATGTGTACATGAACGGAAGGAAATGATTTGCTGCTGAATTGCTTCAGTGGCAAATCAAAAGTCCTCTTCAGCTGGTCTAACAATGTGTGGAATAATGGTGTGAAGGAGGGACACATGGTTCAATCATTGCATCTCTCACCCACCAACTATGGGTAGGGACTTTCTGTAGAAAAGAGAGTCCATTATCTATGAAGGCTATCCAAATTATTAGCCAGTTTGGATAGCCAGTGTTTCCAATTGCATGGAGAGCCTCTACAGATAGAAGGAGTTTTCCTGTTCACGATGTCTCCATCTATGTGTGGACACCAATGGGAGCAGGGTCAGAGAAGGGTACATGCCCCACTCCTTCCATATTTATCTCACATGAGTTCAGAATGCTCCAACAGGCTAATGCAGAACTTCAAGAATTAATGATGTCCACAAGCAGAATTTCAGAAGCAACTTTATGATGGCAACAGATCATTGTCCAGAGTGTGTGTACATTTAATACTAGAAGAAGAGGACTGGAAAGGTAAACAAGGGACAAGAGAAAATTAGGAATGATTCTGACCAAACAAATGTATTCTGCAGTGCTGAGCATCACATATTTCATGGTTGTTTTGCTTGAGTGACACCAGTACATTAGCCATGTTTTCACATCCTGTTTATGACGCTTCACCTTTATTCTCTCTCTCTCTCTCTCTCTCTCTCTCTCACACACACACACACACACACACACACACACACAAAATCACCCTCTATATCCACTGATTCTGTCTCCATGGATCCCACCATCCATGGCTTGAAAATATTTCCCTCCCCTCAAAAATATTCCACAAAATATTACAATGTAGGCTGCACAGGATAAATCAGCCAAAGAAACAAACAAACAAAAAGAATCCTTTAAAACAATAATAAAATTGACTAGGAAATCCACTGTTACCTGATACAAAGGTATTTATGCAGACATCATACATGGGCTTTTCTTCAGCTGTTGATGAGTATTTAGGGAACAGGCCCAAGGAAAGAAGAAAATGTAGATGACGCTGTTGTTCATGATGAGGCATGGATTTATTTTCAGCACACAAAAGTTGAAAGAGGTTTGCAAAAGGAGGTAAATACACACAAAGTTTTAAACTATAACTACCATCTTCCCTCTACATGCACTAGGATTAAGGTCAAAAGACCTTCAAAAAAGTAAAGATCCAAAATAAAAAATCAGTTTTTTTAACTGGAGAAACACCTCTCTAGAAATCTCTAGGCATCTCTAAGCCTTTTGGAGTGACTCTGTGGTCAATTTACAACAGAAGTTGACCATACAGTAACACTGAAGGACTTCCAGAGAAAACATTTTAATCAAACCATTGAATAATCAAATCTGCAAAAGTCAAACTCAACTATGGAATGCTGACTGACTGTAATGAATCAATATATGGACACCCACCATTTTCCACATATTTGGTTTTTGATGATCCACTCCTTTGACTGTTTTGAATTATATCCCAAACCTATGTGTGGTCTGCAATTTAATCACTTATTAACATAAAACCAAATTAAAATGGCACCAATTTAAAATGCACGTGAATTAAAATGCAACCCAGTTAAAACAAAAGCGATTTCAAAATGTAACTTACATAAAACAAAACATATCGCTGAGTCCCCATTTGGATGATTTCTGGAGATTGACAGTGCAGTGGTCTCTAATCTGCTGAATAACTAGTGGGGTGTCTGTAATTAAAAGTGATTTAAGTACACAATCTGGTATTATATTTGGGACTTACATCTTCATAAACGATGCACAGAATCGAACTGAGCAGTTTTGCAATGTCCATATTCACTTGCTGTGACTAACAGCATATTTTGCAAAGGAGTGACATTGGGGTGCTTCCTGATGCTCATCTAGGCACCAGCTATGAAGGACTGGAGCAGAAGCAGAGTGACCAATGCCTACTGGAAATTACCAGTGAGCATCAGAAGGTCCTGATGCAGTTGTTTACAATTCACTAACACTTGTGAAACATAGACTTTGGTGTAGGATCTTGCTACAGCCATTCAAGCAGTAAATGAAGCCAATGCATCACACAGGACAAAAGTCCTTTCAAGTAAACAATCTATTCCCAATGTCCTGTTGAAATAAAAAAGAACCAATGGAAAGATACCATGCAGGGAACCAGTCTAGTTTTTTCCTAATATGGAAATTCCAGAGCCTGAGAGCAGCCACCAAAAAGGTCCTCACCCACATTCTCAAGGTTGATTGATAACTGGCAAATAGAGGGAGAAAACATGGAGGGGGTAACAGACTTTGTATTTCTAGGTGCAAAGATTCCTGCACACGTAGACTGCAGCCAGAAAATCAGAAGACGTTTGATTCTTGGGAGGAGAGCAATGATCAATCTCGATATAATAGTGAAGGGTAGTGACATCACACTGGCAATGAAGATCTGCATAGTCAAAGCAATGGTATTCCCCGTAGTAATCTATGGATGTGAGAGCTGGACCATAAGGAAAGCTGAGCAAAGGAAGAGAGATGCTTTTGCTGGAGCAAAATTCTGAGAGTGTCTTGGACTGCGAGAAGATCCAACCAGTCCATACTTCAGGAAATAAAGCCCGACTGTCCATTGGAGGCAAATATGAAATACTTTGGCCACATCAGAA